GTGGCTATCAGGACTGGGTTCGAGTTCCACAGTGAACATCAACTCTGAGATGCAGGTACATCCAACTGACGAGTACTAGATAGAACGAAACGCGCGTCAAGCTGGATTCCACTGCTAACCACCATCCATCTTATTATTTATGTTATGCTATTTCAATATCATTATAAACTATTAAGATTTAGAAAAAAAATTTCCTCATTGAAATACATCCAGTTTCCTCGAAATGCTGTAGCAGGATGTTTAACTTGGGAAAAAATGTATTTTCTAGTTAGAAGGATTCTTTGAAGATTGATTGAATTGATAAAAGTATCATCAAAAACTTTTGAGGACTTAATCGATATTTTTCTCCTGAATTAGAACTTTTTAACAATATGAACCCAAGACGCTATCAGCATTTGGATTAAGGACTTGGATCAGTATCTTAATGTACAATTCTAACTTGATGGTAATTGTTTCGATTGCAGAATCTAGCTGAAATCCACCATTCATTACTTTTTATTAGAACTACATCGATTCAATAGTTTTGATGTTCAACGGTTCACTTAAAGACTCATAGATCTTTGTTCGATTCCCAAAGAGATCATGAATGAGTACTGTTAAAGTGTCTTATTTCAAGACAAATCTCTAACAAATCCTTTATGCTTTTCAATTGTAACCCAACTTTAATTAATCTATGATCCATACAATCTACAAATTGTATTCTATTTTAGGTTTCATCTAACCACACAGGAAATAATTTTCAAAAAATCAATAAACGTATCTGTTCTTTTGCTTTGTTTGTTTTTGTTTTTGTTGTTGTGGTTGTGGTTGTTGTATAGTTACCGACTTAATCTTATCAACAGTTACGTAACTAATCAACTATAGTTCTTAATGACGTATTGCAATAGGATAACTAAAAACAACACAAATGAGTTATTATAGGAAATTTTATAAAAGATTTATTAGGATGATGGTTTTTTTTATTGAGATCATGAACCGATTAATGTTAGACCATCGTTGGAAACCTGGAATCATTGGACGGCCATTTCGTCCTATTGTAGGACTTCTCAGCAGTGCACTTAAGTGTTGGCGCGCGAGACTGATAGGTCCTGGGTTTGAATCCCGCGAGGTGAGGTCGTGGATGCGCACTACTGAGGAGTCTCACAAAAGGGCGAAACAAACGTCCAGTGCTTCCAGGTTTTTTATGGTCGTCTATCTTCAATTGACTCATGATCTCAACTACTGAAATTACATAAAAGTAAATGCAATTCATAATAATTATCAAGTTACCAGTGAAATTATGTTACAGTGATTTTGTTGTGAACGACAACATCAATGTGGCGAACCAAATGTATTCGAATACATAACTACAGAACATTTTAATAAAATTTGAGAATCATACAGTTAATATTTCATTTGCAAAATGTCAACCAATTGTCTCAGCCTTCATTGTTCCTTTGTCTTCACACCAATTATTCTCTGTTTTAATTCTTTTGGATCTTCTTAACCTTCTTCCGCCAGGCATTCCACCTTCGATTGATGATACATACTACTTCTATCTGCCGACATCAGTAGTATACACCACAATATCACTGTTAAGTGTTTATCTGACAAAACTTTTAAACGGATTGGATGAAAGATCAGCAAATCGGAACATGAACGACAATATTGGCAGAAACAATAAATTCACTGTATTTTGCCTCTTTCTCTTCCACTATGTACATAATAGAGCCTATCAGTAAAGAATCAGTCGTACACTGTGTTCTGGACACTTTTGGAAGTAACGAATGAAGTAAGTGTATCCAATAAAGTTATCGTTTCGTATAACAAAACTTCGAAGTAAATCATTGATATCATTGGTCAATATTGGTATCTTTAATCCATACAATAAACACAGCTTAAATAGTTACTAAGGCTATGCACTAAGAATGTTCAATTCCAATTTAACAGGAAGTTACACTCTCATTCTGATAATACAACTATGAATAATCTTTTAAGATCTATCCTTACCGACATATTTATTAAAAATTTAGGAAGAACTAAACTGTTCATTGTCATTAACGATAGTACACTTTATTAAATCTATAGTAACGATAGTAACGACTAATATCATGCAAATAAAATACCTAAATCTTTTCATTAATTCTATCCCAATATTAAAATTAACAATGGAACATGAACGAAATGATATATTCTACCTTCTTGATTTAGATACTTTCAGAAGAAAGAATGGAACTTGGTTATGTATATATCGGAAAGAAATCTGTAATGAACAATACTTAAAAACGCTCTACTAAAGAGCCAGAAAGTTATCTTCAACAGTAAGGCTTGTAGATGAGTATGCAAAAGATTATGAGCAAACATAGTAACGAATTCTTAAGATGGAAGAATGGACACTTGTTGTAACGTGAAATGCTGTTGATTGGACCAAAGACGCGTAAACACGCAGCTGGGTCTCAAGAAGAAGCATAAACGTCCTCAACATACCAGATCCTACGAATCTGCTCAAAGGGGAGGTGTTAGCGAGACATAGACTGGATTAAAGCATGCTCAATGCATGATTGCTTTGGTGCACGCTGATTGGCTAATTCTTATCCAATCAGCACTAGTCGATAATTGGAGAATACTCTAGAATCTTCTCATGTGAAAACTATATATATACTAACGTTTTCTCTATTGTGCATTTTACTTCCATCTAACCTTGCTATTTGGAATATAATCTCTTTCCTGTTCAACCGTGTTCTGATTTGGGGACTTGTCGAGTGAATCGGTGTCCAAGAATACTAAGCAATAGGAATAGCTGGGTCATAACGGTAAGAAAGAGATTATAACAACACTTGAAGAGAAGAATGTTTAGATTCAACAGTCACATAAATATGATCAAACAATAAAGAAGTGGCTTACATTAAGTCATGATACATTAGAAATACTATTTTGGCATGTCATTACAATTAAAAGGCTGAAATCTTGGTTTATATTCAAAAAGATTCATCATTTATCATTTACTGTTATGATCATCTTTCATAACCTATTTTCCAAATAAATATAACCATAATTTTGCAGGCATATTTATGTACATTCAGTGGACAAGTTTCAAATAAGATGAAATGCATCCCCTAGATTCCCTTTTCGAACCTGTTCTTTTCTAAACTGTTCAAAGACATTCTAAACCAATTGCCTTAAACAATTCTGAAAAAGGACACTATTGACTTCATTCACATTAAACAGAACTTAGTCATTATCCATTGAAAGTAACAGTGGGTTATTAACTGAACGTATTAACTTATATATATAGCTCAAAAAGAAACAATGAGAAGTGCAATGAGTTCTCTGTTTTCTTCAAAGAATATCGGTTTCTTGCATAATAAATTATCTGAGATTATTTGATAAACTCATTGAGAAAACAGTTTTAATTATGATTGTAATCATGAGTCGAATTAAACTAGGAAACTATTGGGAATCCAGAAACACTGAATGACCATTTCGTCAAAGTATAAGACTCCTAAGCAGCCTGCATCCATGATACCACACATTGAATTTAAACCCTGAACCTTCGATCTCGTGCGTGGACACTTACTTTCTAGAAAACTGAGTTGGCATCCAATGTTGTTAATGTCTAACTTCAATCGATCCATGATCATACACATGAAAAAATGCAGAAGAAGACAATTAGTGTAGCAGCTGTCTCTGAATCAGTAGACCTCAACATACACAAATGAAAAAGCATGATCCTCAAATTCGACACAGAAAACACCAATCGGATCACACTTGATGGAGAAACTCTGGAACACGTGGAATATTTCACATACCTCAGATGCATCATCGATGAACACAGTGGATTTGATTCAGATGTAATGGCTAGGATTGGCAAACCAACGACAGCATTCCTACAGTGGAAGAACAGATGGAACTCAAAACAACTCCCAGCCTGCTTCAATATCACAATGGTCAATGGGAACGTGATGACAGTGTATTCAGTTGTATGGAGCTTAGACGTGGAGAACTACCACAATCATGATGAGACGAGTACAAATATTTATAAATAGTTGTCTACACAAGATACTCAATATCGGTTGGTTGGATACCATGAGTAACAGCTTAGTGTTGGAGAGAACAAACCAGTTTCTAGCTGAAGTAAACACTAATAAGAGACGTTGGGAGTGAATGGAACACACATTTCGGAAACTTGTAATGGTGAAAGGAAAGTGAAAAGTGGAATGTCGCAGGGCACAGTGCGTCGGAAATATGAAGGTGACATTAAGAGGATGAGCAGTAAGTTGAAAGAACTCGAAATGATTGTTGAGGACAGAGTTGGATGGCCTATGCTCTTTCATGAAGGTGTAACAAGCGTAAATGGATACTGATACATTATGTTTACTGTTACCTCAATCATTGAAGCGGATGCTAGTGAGATTTTGTGTTCAAACGTTTTTATTTTCTCCAATAATTAAAGTAGTATTGATATGAGTCTAGAAGAGGGTCCAAATGAAATTCTAGTTGTCATAGTGTTTAATCATTATATATCGTACAGATATTTTAATGTTACGAACACACAGTTTCACTATTTTTGCTCAAAGATTGTTGTTATTTATCCTACCATTCATGTATTACAGTCTGTTAGCTTTAAATATTTCAAAAAAGAATGTTATATTTAAAAACACTGTAGTGAGTTATACTCTTCAATTCGAAGCTCATCAGCTGGATGTACCTGCATACCAGAGTTGATGTTCATTCCGGGACTCGAACCCAGTACCGTTTGCTATTTATGTATATACATATATACATATATATCTAGCTTTCTAATTTTCTTTGTCTAACTTCTAGAAAGTATGAATTTGTATAGATTGTCGTTTATATTAAGCATATAGTCACATTACTATCATTATTAGCATAGTTTGAATGGATAATTTTATCATAAATTAACTTATTGGGTTAAACCTCGTAATGAATAGAGAAATTTTCGATTTTTCTGATGTTTCGTGACTCAATGTATGAAACTTTTTCTTCTTCTTCTTCTTCAGGGAAGAAAATCTACAAATTTATTATTTTATATTAGTTACATTGTTAAGGTGTTCACTATGGATGAAGATTAGATAAGACCATAATCCATCTATATAATATGAGAAAGTTTATGATATAATGTAGCCAATTCGTTTAAATTGAATCAAAGTTTGGATTGTTTTAAATGAGTGGAAATATATTGAGATGATTGAAATAGTTTTCAGTATTGACTTCAATGGTTGTAATATTGAGAAATGGAACGATTGAATCCATTGCAAAAGCATATGGCTATCAGGATCCAGTAGCTAAGTGGATAATGTGATAGTGTTTCAAGTGAACAGTACTGGATAACAGTTCTGGAGTGAACAACAACTGTGTGATGCAAATACATCCAGCTGATAAGTGCCGAATAGGACGAAATGTGTATCCAGATGGATTCCATTCCTAGCCATTATCCATCTTTGTTTAAAAAGCTTGTGACTGAAGCTAATATCGAGACAATCCGCATAGGATGCAAATATATCAATAAGAGACTGATCAATTGCAATCCTAAATAACAATCGGAAGATACAAATAAAACAATACCAAGTTGATTTAATGTGTGTTGTAAAACAATTAAATGAACAATAATGAATACAGTTGAATGTAGAATGAACGAGATATGTGATTTATTGGACAGAATTTTAGTCATAGGATGTAAATTCAGTATTATTATTTTTATTAGCTTTAACCAATATTATCTATTTAAAGTACAATATAGAATTCTCAACACAGAGTATTCCAGTGAGTTTCCGTTTCTTATTTCTTGATCGATCCTAACGATAACATATTGAGTGACCACCAGTTAGATGTTAGCAGTTCAGGAATGGACATCTGAATAATATCGATTCTCTTCAATGGAATATTGCCAACAACCATGAAATCTCTGATTGGACACCTTTTGTAACTTGTACAACGAAAGGTTATACACTTTTCACAAATGCACTTGAATAGGTTATGCCAATTCATTGATATGATGATAATGATACATTCAAACAAACAATCAAAGAAACGGATAACTTGTTCAAAATATCAAGATAAATGACAAGAACCATTAGCAACGGTATTCAAACAGACCACCTTACGAATGTCTAGTCTTCTTTTAATAAAGTATTATTATTTGTTTTTGTATTTTTCTCCTATTTTTATTTTTTTTCATTGACTTACTGACCTTTTCAATCATTGCGTTATTCATTTAGCCAACTGCTTATACACTGTGGTGAAGTTAAGGCGATTAAGGCGATATTGAGACAATAAGCGATTGATCAATTACGATTCGAAACATAAATGGGAAGAATCAAGTAAACAATACCAAATGAATCGTTATTACTGCTAAAAATATTCTTGATCTTCTATTGATTTAAAATGAATAATAGTAATCATAACATAGTTAACTATTGTCTTTTGAATGGGATTGTATTTAGCTTCTGATTAAAGTTAGACTTATGTAACCAAAAAACCCTCAGTTACAAATCTATTTTGTATTGCGTCATTTATGCAATTTCCTTCTGTCTCTATGCTTCTCTCTATCTCAATCTGACTTTATTTGCTTTATTTATTTTAAAGTGATAACCATCTTGTTTTAATTCACTTATCTCAACCCCCATTTTTTATTCTTAATTGTTATTCATTTATGTTTAACTACCAAACGATCTAAAATGAATTCACGTTATTCTACTTTATTCATTTCGCCCTAATCTATTCAAGATAATAAAATGAATCAAATTTATGAAGCATTAATAATCAGTTGAAACATTCAAAGTTATGTAATATAATACTGGTCGTCAATATAATACATTTAATGAGAGTATTAGGAAGTTACAAACTGTTAGTATAATCAGACACTATGTTTGTTTAAGCAAAGATGGATAGTGATTAACAGTGGAATGCAGCTTGACGCGTGTTTCATCCTACTTAGCACTCGTCAGATGGAAACACCTGCATCTGAGTTAATGTTCACTGTAGAACTCGAACCTAGTAACATTCATTTCAAACACTATCACGTTATTCACTTAGCTACTGAGTCCTGATAGCCACTTGCTTGTGCAATCGGGTGAAGTCTAATTCACTTAGTATCTATTGTTTACTTGAATCTACTGATTGATGTTTAGGACTGCAATTGATCAGTCTCTTATTATTATATGTGCATACTGTGTGTATCGCCTCGATACTGCCTGAATTTACAAGCATGATAAGCAAAGATGAATAGTGACTGATCAATTACAGTTCTAAACATCAATCGGTAGACTCAAGTAAAACAATACCAAATGAACTATGTTTGTTTGTTTGTTTTAATACAAAATGATCGAATAAGACAATCTTATTCATCTCTTCTATATTTAATACACCTTTCGATAATGATGGGGTTAACTTTAATGAACCCACCAAGAAAGAATGATTCCGTAAACTCCAGTATGTGTTTGTGTGTGTGTATAATCGACAAATGGATCCTGATCAGTTTGATGAATACGCTGATCTTCATGAATGATCATAATTTATGTAACCATTGATAGTAAATTAAACAATCTGTCTGTCTGTATTTCATTGGTAAATACAAATACAAGATCTTAAATGATCAAGTTGATTTATGGATACTAGTGGTTAACAGTTACGTAATGTCTCCCATAAACTATAAACTATTAAATGACGTGATTATTATCATTATAATGATTACTGTATAGATAGATTATGTCATATATTACTTAACAACTAATCTAACTAAATACTAAATCATATTTTGACATGATCAGAATCAAATTAACATTAACGAATTTTTGTAATGACGTCAGTAACCATGTAATTTATTTGTCAAGATGTAATAATTATGGTTTAGTGATATAAGAAATATTTCATAGATGAAATATGTGTTGGGAATCTATCATTTATACATTACTCAATTTTATAACAAAATAACCAAACAGTTAATAGTCGAGATCATAAGTTAATTGAAGATAGACTACCATAGAAAATATGAAAGCATTGGACGGCCATTTCGTCCCACTGTTGAACTCCTCAGTAGTGCGCATCCACGATCCCACTCCTCGCGAGATTCGAACCCAGGACCTATCAGTCCCGCGCCAACTTAACTACTGAGTCGTCCCATACTAGGATGAAACGGCCGTCCAGTGCTTACAGGTTTTCAATGGTGTTCTAGCTTCAATTAACTCATGATTTCAATCTGTGAAAACCATGTTTGTTTGTTTTTTATTCATATTCAATGCAATCTCTATTTCAAGAGTAATAAAATGTAAACTTTTCACCTAATATAAGTTTATTATAAGAGTTACATTGATTAATTAAGACGAATCATATAATTAGATGATATTAGAAACTAATACTACTTATTTATAAATAATTAAAGATGAAGGGTTTCGGTAATTCATAAACTATTGAAAGTAGACTGACCTGAATAAGGTATACATTTAACTATTATGTAATCTATGAAATTTATAAATGACTGAATGTATAAATATACTTGATTCATAGAATTAGTTGTTCTCTTTTTATGAGGGATAGGATGAGGGATTTTCCCATCGACCTCTTATATGATGTTAAAGGTGAAGACTTAATAGGTTATTAATTAATAGTGAAATATTAGTTTAATATACCTTAAAAATGATTAGATTACATAAAAGAAAGTTTATAACTTGTATTAACAATTACTTATGAGGTCAATTAAATAAATAGAAAAGTAAATGACTACCAGTATTGTAACATAGTTTTACAGATATCATAAATTTTATTGTTCATTGATACCCCCCACCCCAAATGCCGTGAGGGGAGGGAGAAAAAAAATCAGCTCTCCCTCTCGAAATCCTCTCATATGACCATTCGTATACAGTCCCTGCCTACTCACTGCCCTCTCGTGGCAGGAGTGTTGTTTACGAAACCGAAAGGATGAAAAGTGAATGTCTAGCGCTTTAACCGGTTCAGTGGACACAAAGGGTTTACTTAGCGGCGTTGGGGAACCCTCATTCCAAACCAATGATGTACATGGGCTTCTGAAGAAACAAATGGCGTATGAACCAATTAATGGTCACCGGCTACCATGGGACTTCATCTCCTGACGTCGCTCCACTGCCTTGTGGATCAAACTTTTATGTCGAAGACTCCGCATGTGGCCTCCTGAGGAAACCGCATGCTTCAGTCTGAGAACTACAGCCCACACACCAATCAAGTGACTTGTGTGGCACATTTGTATTCAGTGACCTTTTTTTTTTACCAATATTTATGTGTTCAAATAAACTGTTCATTGATAAAATAAATGAACGAATCCAAGTGTAGATCGCTTTTATTAAATACAATGATGAATGAATCAAAAGTAAAGATAGCCATGAAAAGAAACCAAACAATAATTGACAGCTATTTCGTTCACTTAGGATTGAACTTTAAATCGTCAGATCTCGTAAAGAATATATTTTATTCAAACCTTTGATTTGGTATCCATAGATTTGCTATTCTGTCCTCAGTGTATTAGTAGTATTTTGCCATTATTATCCCGACAAGACTGAACTCTAACTTTCACTGCTTTCCACTGTAATCTATTGGACTTCATCAATAGTTTGCTATTAGTGAAGTGCTGATTAGTATTAGAGTAGTGAGTTAATGTAGACTTTTTAATAAACATGAAGTTCAGCGAACAGATCACTTTTCAACGAATTTATTATCAAGCTCTACAATCGTATACGAGAACACTTTTTAGTGTGGTTCTACAAAAGTGAAAGGAAAGCAGTTGGAAGTTTCATCCTAGAATATCTGATCGACTCTAATCATTCTATTTGTGTATAACATTCGTCCAAACTATCTAGATTTCTTAGTATCCAAATGCTTAAAATATCGGAAGCATTCACCATCTAGGAGCTTAAGCCTGAACTATGCGTACAAAAGAAACACGTTCTGTCATTATCGTTACCTTGGCCTTAATCTATTATTATTATTATTACATTTGTCCATTTTTGACTGAGATTATGAACCGATTGCTGTTAGACCACTATTGAAAAGCTGGATGCATTAGACGGCCATTTCGTCCTGTTGTGGGACTTCTCGGCAATGC